GATGCCCAGCCAAAAAGTATTTGAAGAAACTAGGAACCGATAGGACCTCCCCCCCGCCACGGTTGCTACAAAATGGCCATTTTAAGGTGAGGAGTTCCACCATGCCACAAACACAAGGATAAGAGACTATCTATAGACCTAAATATTGATTTGGGAATCCACACCGAGGATTTTCTAAAAACAAAGGTAAAATTTTCATTTTGAACATTGATTTTCCTGATTAAAGAGAGTGGAAGATTTTTCCATTCATTTAACCTATTCTTAAGAAAAGTAAGGAGGGGCATACTTTAAACCAATCACATTTTCATGGTCAAATACAACAAATTATATCTGCTAACTATGGTCTAGTCTTCACCCATTTGCATCAAAACAAGTACTCTTCAGGGTATTGAATTGATCTTGATGTTGCAGTTGTCAGCCTTGTTGTAACCCCTCCTCCTCTTCTCTTGATGATGGTGCACTGTGGAAGTGCCACTTGAAATTTGGTGTAGGCCATACATATACCAATCAAAAATAGTTGCAAAGAATCTTTTGCTCAAAAAGGATCAGTTGATACTAGAAAAAGATTGATTTGGTCAGATTTTCCTCCAGGGAGAATTGTCCTTTCTTTGCCAGGTAAGCTACTGAACACAGTTGCAGGCCAGCGCAATGGATTGACAGTGTGCGCAATAACCAAATAAGGAGTTGATGTCTCAATGAAGACGCAGGATTTGTGACAACATCCACCTCATATTTATTACCACAAGGATTGCATTTTTTTTCGAACACACTGAAGCTCTTTCCACTTACATATCACCGCTGTGTAATCCAGTTGTCAGAATTTTGTACAAAAGAAGCACTGGTCATAAATTAGGGCGTCTCTTTGAAGTCATCTCCAAGACGCTCCATTTTTGGGCCAGAATGCAAATGGCCTTAATGTGTTTTTTGTAAGGAAATTTCTGGAAAACATGTTGAAATCAGAAATAGTAACGCAGCAGCCCTGCTTCCGCATATGTTCTGTCCCACACTGATGTTACATAATGTTAGAACATTGTGTTCGTAATCTAATGGGGCTGACATTCAGCAGACAGATCACAAAGATCAAAACCCCATTGCAGTGTACAACAGCAGGTTAAGTGTAACTAAAATAGGAACCTTGATACCTATAGCTTTATTTGGATTAGATGCTTCTGTCTCGGTTTTGTTTTGCCTTTTGCTGGCATCAACTTTAAATTCCTCTATGGCCATAATTTCCTAGTAAACGTTCTAACAGAAGTGTGCGTGGCTTCCTAAGTACATATGGATAAGATGGATGAAGTGAGGGTAATCGATACAAGGAAAATATGCCATCACTACCACATTCGACTTGTGCTGCCCATCTGTGTGTTTTGTACATGTCGTTGCCACATGTCTTGTTTGATTTTTAATTTGGAAACTAAAGGTATTGTCATCTTCCTTTGGTATACAGTATGTCTATACCCCATTACATTGTGTTATATAGGAAAAATGGTATATTTTCAGTCTGTACATAGTATATAGCATTATTTAAATGTTTATATGGAAATATTTTTCAGAATTACTTCTTTTAAAAATGTGTGATGTACCACATTTCATTTCTTGACATTTGTTTTTAGAATTGTGGTTTACCCTCTTGTAGCTCTATCTATAGCATCAGTATATTTAGTACCCTAAGGCAGGCCAGAAGGTTGAACGAAAACAAAAAAGATTTGATTCCCCTATCAACACACTTGATGTTGATGGGGGGAATGCCTCTGGCTGATTTAATGCATCCTGGCGGCAGGGAGAGTTCCCCGCTGTCAGGATAAAATGATCAGTGTTGCCGGCTGTGGCCAGTGGCACTGATCAAATGAAAAAAAAAAAAACCCCGACAGGCTGATTGTGCAAAAGTCGATTGATAGATTGACTTCTGTACAACTAGCCTGTCCATTGATGGATTGAAATTTGGCCTATCCCTGCAGAACCAGCTGAATTTCTATACATCTATGGCTGGCTTAATAGGAAATCTGCAGAGATAATATAATACTGGTTACAAGATAAGCCACGTAGTGCAAACAGGGATGTGAGTACATTACATGACCCATCGTATGTGTACACCTGAGCATCACACCCAAATGAGCTTGTTAGACATCCTTTGTTAAAACCTTGAACAATACTATGACGATGCCCAACCTTTGCAGCTATAAGAGTCCAGTTTACTGGGAAGACTTTCCACAAGATTTTGGAATGTGCCTGTGGGATTGTGCTCCCATTCAGTCAAAGGGAGATTTGTAAGATCAGGTACTGATGTATTGCAAAGGTGTTCAGCAGGGTTGAGGTCAGGGCTTTGTGCAGGCCATTTAAGTTCCTTCACACCAAACTTCTCAAACGTGGTCTTTATAGAACTGTCTTTGTACATGGGTGCCCATTCATGCTGGAATGGACAACAGCCATATCTAAACTACAATCTGCTGACCTACTTTAATGTTTGATTCCTAGGCACGTCACACCAGAAGACGTTCCATAGTCTATCTAGCTGGGTAAGGGCTAACAACACTTGCTGAGGCCACAGTACAATCCAGAGAAAACACTCTAATCTCGAGTCTTCCCCTTGACTGCTGCTGCGCTGGGTGCTGGCCACAAGAGGCTGTTCTTGTTCCATATAGATTATGTACAGAAAACAAAAAGGCATCAATGACATTGCTTCCTAACACCAAACTTTATGCACTTGAGCAACACATGCTGCAAATCCCAGCATGTAAACCACTTAGGGTTCCCAGACAGGAACATGTAGTATGTGTTTCTTAATTAAATAAAGTTTTGGTGTAAAGAATTGACGTGATCAGTATGCGGTCTTTTGTATAGATTTCTTCAAGATCTACATTTTTTCCCTGAAAAATATTAGAGAGTTTCTAAAGCCAGAAGGTTTTTTTTTAACTTAATGCATTACCTGCATTAGGGTAAAAATCCTTCCACTAGTTGTTCGATCCAAGCCCCCCAAATAATTACGTGTCCAGGATCAGTCCACTGTTGTGTCCGTCTCCAGCAGCACTGGTTCTCGCTTTCCCCTCTCACAGGCTCGGAGACAGCAGCAAGAGCCATTGGCTTGCGCAGCTGTTTTTCAAATGCTGTGAGGAGGGTGAAGGCCTGAACCACACAGTGTGTGTCAATAGACATACACAGTCCAGCTCAGGAACAAGCCTAACCCCTGGTTCACATATATGCAGCCGTGTAGGCCACGTCTTGCGCGAGCACGAGAGCCCGTTCATTTGCCCCATGACACGCAGGGAAGAAGTCCCTGCACTTCTTCTGAAAACGCAGCCCGCACGGGAACCTTGGTTCCCAGTATGGTTGCATTTTCCAGTGCGGGTGGCGTGCCATTAGATCTAATGGCACCCGCCCGTGGGTCCGCATTCCTCTGTGTGGGTGGTGCAGCTGCACAGAATTTCATGCGGATCCGCAGCGGCACCACCCGCACATGTGTGAACCAAACCTAAAGGTGCACCCCATAGGAAATGGCTTCCAATGCGGGCGCATTGAGATAAGAAGGACTTGAGAGTGCTGGTGGGAGTCTCCAGAAGAGGAAGATCAGGGTTGCTCTGTGCAATACCATTGCACAGAGCAGGAATGTATAACATGTTTGTTATTAAAAAAAAAAAAAAAAAAAAATATGTCTGATTTTACAATCACTTTAAAGAGACAAAATTAAAAAAAATATGCATGTATTGCAGAGATATACTGAATAGTGTATATATATATATATATATATATATATATATATATATATATATATATATATTTTTTTTTTTTTTTTTTTTTATTTAAACCAGACATACACTTTATTTGGTTGTGGTTTCAGTTCTAATCCTTTTCTCTTGCCTTTTTTGCTCCTTTATTCCTTTTTAAAGGTCCTTTCTTGTGAAGTGGTTAAGCCATATCAGCACAAGGGTCTTTGACTTCAGTCCACATCTCTTTGCACAGCACTTTCTGTCATGTCTGGAAAATATCCTTAATATAAAGTCTAAATGGGAATGTATTGCTGGCAGGGAGAGCAGACCAGTCCCTCCTCTGCAGTATGTGTAAATATCCACAGGATGCTAAGCATGTATTTGGCAGAGACCCGCGCTTTATATTTCCTGGCTCCTAATGCCCTATAAGATGCTCTCACCTTCTGCCATCTGTTTCCCTGTTTCTATGGACATTGGGGAAACTTGTGTGGCTTTCCTAATAGAAATGAAAGCAATACATCAGCTTCCTTCAGCTCTGCTGAAAACCCACCATGATGTGTTCTCTGTGTTGTAGGGCTGTCACTCCTGTGGTGTGCCCAGATTACTGTCCATGAGTAACCGTCCTCCTGTTTTCTTCACACGAGTACTACAAAGGCCTCGCTCATGTACCTTGGATATTTAGCCACCGTGTATGAGATTCCGACATTTTCAAATGGGCAAAAGGCACAGGTGTACCATCCAACCCTGCAGCTGGCAGCCAGTAAAATGAGAGGCTGAAAGTTGCTGCATGGGGCTGGACGCTGTACCGAGGGGTACTAATGTTTGGGTCAGTATGCACCCAGGGATGAATGCCCGGAACACAGGAAATCTGCAGTCTGGCCATCTGCCCCTAGGAGCATACTGCCTGCACCATCCAGGGAGCATGAAGTCAAAGGATTGTGTAACTTGGATGTGCAGAGCATACACTGTGGATTTGGCTAATTGCCACGACTTTTGAATCCACGGTCATTTAATTAGTATACATATATTTCACTTTACCTTCTACATTTTACTGGTCTCTTCATTTTTCTCACTTTTTGTTCCACCAAAGAAATTTTTTAAACACTCCAATTTTTCCTGTTTATGTTGAAATTTAAAGTCGAAGTCCAGGAAAAAAAAACATTTAAAGTGTTACTAAACCCACAACAGTAAAATCAGTCTGTATATGTAGTAACACATGCTTGTTAGGGGTTAATCCTCTGCACTGTGTAAAAAGGCTGTTTGATCCTGTCTCCTCTGCCCCTCCTCTTGTTGAAATGACCACCTGATACAGACTGAATCCGTGGTCACATGCACAGTTTGGTGTGTATTGCTAGAGAGGTTTTTTGTTTGTTTTTTCTTGGGAGAGTGCATGTGATCAGCACAGGGCCAATCAGCACTGTCCAGACAGAGGGTCAGAGGTTTCACATCCTCTTAGAGCAGAAAGAAAACTCCTCCTACAAGCTTTAACCAGTGCTATGCTGAAGTCACACGACTGCTCTAACTGCTGATGAGAAAAGGTATTTAGCAGTTTATATTTACTAAAATACAGGTGTGCCTTGGTTAACAATTTTCAGTTTACGAATGAAAAGCCATTGAAAATAATGCCTCGGTTTACGAATTTTTCACAAATTGTTTTTGCAATATGAAGTGTTTGTCAGTTCTGAATTTTAAATGCAATTGCCGGCTTTTTTTTTCTTCACTATAGCTCACAGAATTACTTGTCACTTTTCCCGGAGCTAAAGGATACTTTGTTTCTTTTATCTCAGGAAACAAACTAAAAGGAAACATTGTTTCTTTTAACTGGGGAAATAAACTAAAAGGAAACTTTCTCTTTTAGCTGGGGGGAAGTGACAGCTGTTTCTCTGAGCTATAATGAAGAAAAAAAAAGCCAGTAATTACATTTAAAAACCGGCACTGACCTATAATGACAGCAACTTTTTTAACTTTTTTCTGACCTCCAGATTGGATTAATTGGTTTTCAATGCATTCCTATAGGAAACCACGTTTCAGTTTATGAATTTTTTGCAATACGTAAATCGAGGTACACTTGTAATTGCATTTCATGTGTGTGTACTGTGGGAGTGATATAGTGAATGCTGTCCGGGGAGACCAGATATAGTGAATGCAGGGTCGGGGTGACCAGATATAGTGAATGCAGGGTCCGGGGAGACCAGATATAGTGAATGCAGGGTCCTGGGAGACCAGATATAGTGAGTGCAGGGTCCGGGGAGACCAGATATGGTGAATGCAGGGTCCGGGGAGACCAGATATGGTGAATGCAGGGTCCTGGGTTTAGTATCAATTTCAATAGTGCATTGTGCACCAATTACCTTACTCATCAGCCTTGATTCCAGACATCTCTTCTTAAACCATCCTGCAGTGTAATGGATCTGCCTGTATGAGCCAAGCTGATATCCTGCCCTGAGGACCAGGCATTTTTTCCTGCTTGTTTACTTCTTGGGCATTGGTTCTCTCACCACCTACGTAAATTCTCATGTTTCTAGAACCTATGAGAGAAAACCCAGCCGTTATAAGTGTTGCCTCCACCAATAGGAGGTGTCTCTATTGTGCAGGCAGTGATGTGGACACCTAAAGAAGGTAAACAGGAAGTAAACCAAAGAGAAAAGGCTCATCATGGCTTCGGTTAAAGTGGTTCTAAAGTCTCAAGGTTTTTTACCTTCAAACGTTCTATGCATGAAGGTAAAAACTTTGTGTGTATCATCGCCCCCAGCCCCCCTCCTAACACTTACCTGAGCCCCCTTTGATCCAGTGATGTCTAAGAGAGCCTCGTTCTCCAGGGACTCTCACTCCCGATTGGCTGGCTGAGGCAGGAGTGGGAGCCATTGTGAGCCAGTCAGGAGGGGGGGCAGCCACGGCTCTTTGTGTGAATGGACACTTAGAGCAGCGGCTCAGGAGCGTGCCTGCTCAGTTGCAGCCGTAGCTAGCTGTTTGCTATGGGCGCACCCGGAAGGAGGAAGTGGCTTGGAGAAGGATCGGGGCTGCTCTGTGCAAAAACTACTGCATAGAGCAGATAAGTATAACATGTTTGTTATTTTTAAGAAAAAAAAGACGTTAGTATCACTTTAAAGCAAAACTAAATTCCAGAATATTTACTTTAAGTCCAACGCCTGCGAGGTCCCTTGCTGGAGCGGCCATCTTCTCACTGGCTTCTGCCTGGTGCCAGTCTTTGGCCATATTGATTGGCCAACACGACATGATGCAACAGTCACCCCACCACACAGGAACAGTGCCTAGTGTATATGGTGCTGTGCATGAGCAGCTCAGTGTACATTCTAAAGACGACTGAGCAGAGCAGGCAGCTAGGTTTATATTATTGCATGTCTCTCCTGCAATAAACAGCCTGCTTGCAGTTTTATTAAAAAAATGACTTTAGTTCTGATTTAAATAAAATGAGCATGTGATGATTTTTTGTTTTTTTTTTCCATACCAGTAGTTGGTTAGTGGGGGTGTTAGTGAATTTGTTAAAATCTTGGAGTTTGGCTTTAAACTTTTTAAAGTCTAAGGGCTCATGTACACTGCAGCTCCTAAACTGACTTTCAGGAGCAGTTCAGCGTTTTTTTCAGCAGCCCCTGAACTCTCCTTAATGTTTTCCTATGTGTCCATGTGTACATAGTAGTTTACAGTCAGTTGAGTTTACCGTCTTTTTTTTTTTTAATGCACCAAACTTGCGTTGAGGAGTAGATTTTACCGGCGTTTCAAATGCCAAACGCATGTAAACGCTTGTAAATGTGGTTAACCGCGTTTATAAGCATTTTTTTAACTGTTCCATGTCCAGAGACTGTCCAGAGCCTTTTTTCATCATCAGAAATGCATGCACAGCATTTTCCATGTATTCAAATGGACCCGGAACACCAGTGCCAGTCAGTTCCAGGTTTCGCATGAAAGAAAAAAATGGTAGAACGTGCTGCATTATGCTCATGATGGGATCCATAGTGAATACAACCAGAGAAGACAGGTCATCTCAACACATACTGCTCTCTCTGCTTCTGCTCTCTCTATTTATCTCAAAATATCTGAAAGTAAATTTTTTACAATTTTTCAGTACATTCTGGGCATTTGGGAAGGTCTCCTGAGGTTATCTTTTAAAAAACGCTTCTAAACGCAAACGCTCATAAACACGGTATGCAAACAATGCTAAACTGACGTTTTTTAACCTACGTTTTGTAGCAGTCAGTTTCCATCGTTCAAAAGAGTTTTCCAAACGCCCTGTGTACGTGAGTCCTTAATGTACTCTGAAATTAAAGCATACATCAAATAAATACTGTAATTGGAGAGAAAAAAAGAGAAAAAAAAAACGGAATAGAAATCGGGAAGCCATTTTAACAAAAACAAATCTACTGTTTGACCCATCAATGTAGTTTCTTTTGAAGGTGTAACAGCTCATCACAATTGTGTTGAACCTCAGAAAGGTACCTTCTGATCCTGGTATGGCTTTGAGTCTGCCAGACCTGTTCCTGTCTATTTCCTCCAGTGCCTTGTGATGGTGTATAGGCCTCATGCACACAGGCCTTTTTAAAAATGCTCCTCCTCTTGGCAGCACTGTTTTTGGCAGAAAAAAAACACTTGATACTTGCCAAACTGTCTAATGCTTTTACAAGCGTCAAGAGCTTGGGTGTTAATTTATTTCATTGAGGCAGAATAATAATTTATTCTGGCCATTGAAAAATTAACACTTAAGCGCTAAACGCACCTAGCCTTAACTTGTATTTTGGCGCATTTACACGTGTCAAACTTTTTTTGGGGCAAAACGCTGCTGCTCCTGGATGCACTGGGTTTTGATGCTGGTAAACACTACTACTACTAAAAGCTTCTAAGAGTCTATATGTGCATGGACACATAGGATAACATGGAGGGCCGTTTGGAAGCAATAAAAAAAAAAGCTTGACGCCCTAAAAGTGACTGCAAAAATGCCCTGTGTACAGTGAGGCCTTAGGGGTTCTAATATACCTATTATTTATTTATTATTTGCCGGTCTTCCTTTGTCTTTTTCTTGCAATTATGAGCTGAATACCCTATTTTTGACAGAGCAATCTTTTTCATGATGTTGTTTTTTTTTTTGTTTTTTTTAGAGGATGTAATAACACAATTTGTTATACTGCCATTGTATAGGCTGAAACTCATCTGAACAAAGGCCTCACAGTTGCTTTCTGATTCATGTTTTTTGAAAAACAGGTCAAGTGAGTCAGTGGAAAGGAGCGTAGTGCACGTGTGGCTGTTCTGTATAGTGGACACTAGGTGGCGATGTATTACCAATTGTTCATGCAGCGGGCCGCTCTACATTTCAGAGGCACCTTGCGCTATTCCTAGACGTGGCTTTTTTATTTGCATGTTATGTTGATTTAGCTGTCATCTGTGAATATCACTGTGCCTTTTTTTTTTTCTTAGCTTAAAGGATAGGTGAACATGTAGTAGCTTGTCCTGAGCAGCGCCTACTCGTGCAGATCATGATAGTAATGTATTATATTTCCCTGTAATGCCATTCTTTGCTGTGTAGAACCTGTAATGGTTCTTATTGATGGGCATGATTTCCCTAGTATATCACATGTTCTCTGCTGTGTCTACCCAACACATTATTATATACCCAGGAAATGGGAGATCAAAATAGGAAATGACTTGGATGCACAGGACTGGACCCATATATAGGATGCCACAAAAGCATCCTGGAATGCTGTACATGGTGCCCAAATCACTGACTGTATGCCCAGCTATTCCTGATTTTAAGGTTCTAGTCATATGGGAACTTTTTATTATATACATTGCGCCTGCTTGGTGGCTGTACAGTTTTGGGCAGACATTTTTATAATGTTGGAACTGATGGGCTCTGCAGTCCCCATTCCCCAATGCTCCTGGCTGACATGTCAGCAATACGGATGAACTTGGGTGTGGACTGAACTTAAAGTGTTACTAAACCCACAACAGTAAGATCAGTCTGTATATGCAGTAAAGCATGCTTGTTATACACACTGTGGAACCTAAGGGGTTAATCCTCTGCACGGTGTAAAAATTTGTTTGATCCTGAACTCCCTGATCCTCCCCTTCTTCCAGTGTCCCCCTCTTATCTTCTGATAAGACATACTGATTGGAGTCACTCTGCACATGTTCAGTTTGGTGTGTATTGCTAGAGAGGGGTTAATCTTTTGCATTGTGTAAAAAGGCAGTTTGTTCCTGGCTTCTCCACTCCTTTTGTTCAAATGTCCATGGCTTATCTCCTGATAAGACAGACTGAACCGTAGCCATTCTGCACATGCTCAGTTTAGTGTGTATTACTAGAGAGGTTTTTTTTTGTTTTTTTTCTTGGGAGAGTGCATGTGATTAGCACAGGGCCAATCAGCACTGCCCGGGCAGAGGTCTTGCATCCTCCTACAGGAGAATGAAAACTCCTCCTACAAGCTTTAAACCATGCTCAGCTGGACACTGATAGAAGTCACAAGACTGCTATATACTGCTGATGAGAAAGGGTATTTAGCAGTTTATATTTACCAAAATAATTGCATTTCCATGTTCTGTGTACTGTGGGAGACCAGATATAGTGAATGCAGGGTCCTGGGTTTAGTAACACTTTAAATTATGACCAAACTTGGAATGAAGCTGTCACTGTCACTCAATGAACTCCAACCAGGGCATTTTCTACAGCTACAAGCACACAAACAAGCAGGGATGCATTGACCTAATATGGCCACATGGTCAATGATGTCATGAGCATCCCGCCCCTTTATTATTTTTATTATACAGTATTTATAAAGCGCCAACAGTTCGCTCAGCGCTGTACATTACAGTGGGAGACAATACATGCGACAGTAGAATAACAATACAATGCGATACACGAGGGGTTTGAGGGCCCTACTCCTTGGAGCTTACAATCTAGGAGGGAGGCGATAATGGTACAGGAGGAAATGGCTGTGGGGGATGAAGTGGTAGGAAGAGTGGAGGAGGGCGGCAATTAGCAGGGGGTGGGGTAGTCTTCCCTGAAGAGGTGGGCTTTTAGGGTGCGCCTAAAGGAGAGGAGAGTAGGTGATAGTCTGATGGATTGGGGTAGGGAGTTCCAGAGGATGGGTGATGCCCTGGAGAAATCCTGGAGGCGGGCATGGGAGGAGGAGACCAGGGAACTAGAGAGAAGGAGGTCTTGTGAGGAGCGGAGTGTGTGTGCTGGGCGGTACTTGGATATTAGGTCGGTGATGTAGTTTGGGGCAGTATGGTGGACAGCTTTGTACGTCAGTGTTAGGATTTTGAATTTGATCCGTTGGGCAATCGGAAGCCAGTGGAGGGATTGGCAGAGGGGGGTGGCGGAAACGGAGCGGTTGGTAAGGTGGATGAGTCTGGCTGCCGTATTCAGGATTGACTGAAGCGGGGATAGCCAGCGGCAGGGCAGGCCAGTGAGGAGGGAGTTGCAGTAATCGAGTCGTGATATGATGAGGGAGTGGATGAGCTGCTTAGTGGTTTCTGGGGTTAGGAACGTGCAGATTTTGGCGATGGTGCGAAGGTGGAGTTTATTTACATGCCTCTGCAGACTAGGGAATGCTGTCACCATGGTTCATTGGGCGGGAGTGATCACTTTCTTATGGGTTCAGTCTGAATCCAAGTTCAGACCAAACCCGAGCTCATCCTTGGTCAATTATAACACACTGTTCTTCTGAATGAGTCCTGTAGAATGAAATTCGGGTAGTCATTCATTAAAAAAAACTAAAGGATAAGTTCACCTTTGGGAACATGTTAAACGTTCTACTTGTTTTTGGGTGGAACATGTAACATGTTCTCACTGCTGGAGCCGCTGCCTGCTCCACTGCATACAGTGACAGCTAGTGGGGGGGATCTTCTCCCCTCCCCAGAGTTCTCGGCTGTCGGTTGTAGTTCTCAATGAACTACCAATGCGCAGTTGAACGCTGTAGGGGTAGTTCATTCTCTCTTCCTGTCGGAGTGTATCTGCCTGTCCGTATGAGGTACACTGACAGGTCTACAGGAGTCCTGCATGGCACCCGTGATCTGCTAATCGTGGGTGCAATGCTTTCTAGACTCACAGTAAAAAAATAATAAATACACTTTTTTTTTTTTTTTTGTTTACCTGCAAAAAGATGTGAACTTATTTGACCTCCGGAAGATTTAACCCCCTTCATGGCCAGGTAATTTTTTGCGATATGGAGCTGCTTTACTTTAGCTTTCTGTTAATGGTATTCGATCACCTCTGGGTTTTTTATTTTTTGTGCTATAAATGAAAAAACACCAACATTTAAAAAAAAATACATATTTTTGACTTTGCTATAAAACATTTCCGATTAAAAAAATAAAATTTCTTCATAAATTCTTCATAAATTTAGGCCAAAATGTATTCTGCTACATATTTTTGGTAAAAAAAAAATCCCAGTAAGCATATATTGATTGATGTGTGCAAAAGTTATAGCATCTACAAATGGCGGTGTATATATACTGGATTTTCTTTTTAATACTAGTAATGGCAGCGATCAGTGACTTATAGCAGGACTGCGATATTGCGGAGGACAGTCTGACAGTAAATGACTCTCTGTGGGAACCAGTGACACTAATACAGTGATCAATGCTAAAAATCACTGTATTAATGACAGTGGCTGGGAAGGGGTTAAACATCTAGGTCGATCAAAGGGTTAATTGTGTGCCTAGCCAGTGTTTTTGTGTTTACTATGTGCTGTTTTTTCTACTAGGCAATCTGCTGGATTTTATTCCCTGAATAAAATCTAGCAGTTCTCCATTGACATAACATTCTGCCTTGTTTATAGTGTTACTGTGTTTTGTTAGTCTCCTTGAAGATCAACAGGTGCTGGCACTCATCCATTGGCCGGCACCTGTTGATTGCTTCTGCTGTGTCCAATCATACCAGATTGGACACAGCAGAAGCTCCTGTGGCACAACAGTGCTTCGGTGGCAGGTGCGTGCCTCCAGTGTTTATATACATGATTTTGCACAGAACGTCCGCTCTGTAGCAGTAAATCTGCGGACGGCAAGTGGTTGAAGTGATTGTAAATGCAAATTTTTGTTTTTTTAAGAACAAACAGGACTATACTTACCTGCTCTGTGTGATTCAATTGTATCAAATCTTCTCTTCTTGGGTCCTCTGCAGGCACTCCTTGCTTCTCCTCTACAGTGAGTGCCCCCATTGGAAGCCGCTTCCTGTAGGGGCACTTATGCAGGCTCGTCTATAGGACTCTGCCCCACCCCTGCTCCTTCGTTATTTGCTTTGATTGACAGCAGCAAGAGCCAATGGCTGCCTCAGCAAAGCCTGTGAGACCCGGAAGGGGAGGGAAGAGCTGCAGACTGGGACAGTGCTGGATCGAGTGACGGCTCAGGTAAGTATAAGAGGGAGTGAGGGGGAGATGCTGATGCCTGGAAATGCATTAAGGTAAAAATTTTTTAGACTTTTTAACCACTTTAATTGTTATTGATATTTCAGCCAGGAACAGCAGCGACAGTCAATGGGGTCACTGTATGTTGTCCACTGTAGGCATGTAAACATTGCACAAACATTACATGCAAAGAGGATATACATAGGATCTTTCTGCCAACAAGATCCTGTATATTTTGGATACGTTCATGTGAATGAGTCCTTTGAGTGAAGTTAGTAGTTTCAGGTTTTGCTCTTTTTTGGGGGGGGGGGGTTGTGTACATTCTTATTTTTCCTTATTACATTTATAGCATACTTATCTTTGCTGTATCTCCAGTCATTGCGACGTCCACCTGTTCACAGGAACCATGAGTGGTGGATGGTGTGCTCTGATCATGATGTACTTTATTGTAGTAGCCAGGGGAGCAGTCAACATCATCCACGTTCATGTTTAGGGATATTTGGTGCTTCTGTTCCTGAAAATCCACAATCTTTCATCTGTAGCCATGAATTGGACAGTGGAATGTTCATTTCTGTTATGTAACACCAATGTTTCGTAATTTCCTTACAAGCACGTTGTTACACGTTCAGCATCTGCAGTAACACAAGACACATCTGAAATTGATTGGGGGGTTAGAAGCCGACAGCTGTCTCCTGAGACGTCCCAGCTCTCTCCTTCCCAATAATGTTCTGCACCCGACGTGATAAATCCCGATTATTCAGAGTTGTGAAATCAGATGAGGGAAATGAGATCACAGGCTAACATTCTGTTTCTTTATGTTCTAATAATTCCATCTTCTTAAAGAACAACTTTAGGCAGCGAGTAAAATATATCGATGAATTGCCAATGCTAATGTGGAGTCATTGCAGCTCTGCTGAATTCAGGGTCTGTGTCAGAAATTTTTATGCGAGTTTTATATATTATTATTATACAGGATTTATAACAGAGGGTATAATAAAAATATATATATATACAGTCATGGCCGAAATTGTTGGCACCCTTGATATTTTTCCTGAAAATCAAGTATTTCACACAAAAAAGGTATTGCATTAACACATGTTTTGCTATACACATGTTTATTCCCTTTGTATGTATTGGAACAAATATAAAACAGAGGCAGAAAAGCAAATATGACATAATGTCACACAAAACCCCAAAAATGGGCTGGACAAAAGTATTGGCACCCTTAACATTTTGCACACCCTTTGGAAAACATTGAAAAATCAGTCGCTTTATAACCATCAATAAGCTTCTGACACCTCTCACCCGAATTTTGGACCACTCTTCCTTTGCAAACAGCTCCAGGTCTCTCTTATTGGAAGGACACCTTTTCCCAACAGCAATTTTAAGATCTCTCCACAGGTGTGTTCAATGGGATTTAGATCTGGGCTCATTGCTGGCCACTTCAAACTCTCCAGCGCTTCTTTGCCATCCATTTCTGAGTATTTTTGACGTATGTTTGGGGTCATTGTCCTGCTGGAAGAAGATCTTGGGCAAACCCAGCTTTCTGACACTGGGCCCTACAGTGCGAAAAAATCCTTTGGTAATCCTCAGATTTCATGATGCCTTGCACAAGTTGTTTATTGAACCTCCACCATATTTTACCGTAGGTACTGTGTTTTGTTCTTTGTAGGCCTCATTCCGTTTTCGGTAAACAGTAGAATGATGTGCTTTACCGAAAAGCTCTATCTTGGTCTCATCTGTCCACAAACGTTTTCCCAGAAGGCTTTTGGCTTACTCAAGTACATTTTGGCAAACTGTAGTCTTGCTTTTTTATGTCTCTGTGTCAGCATGGGGTCCTCCTGGGTCTCCTGCATAGCGTTTCATTTCATTTAAATGTCGACGGATTATTCGCGCTGACACTGATGCTCCCTGAGCCTGCAGGAAGCTTGAATGTCTTTGGAACATGTTTGGGGCTGCTTATCCACCATCCGGACTATTCTGCGTTGCAATCTTTCATCAATTTTCCTCATCCGTCCACGACCAGGGAGATTAGCTACAGTGCCATGGGTTGCAAACTTCTTGATAATGTTGCGCACTGTGGACAAAGGCAAATTAGTTCTCTGGAGATGGACTTGTAAATTGTTGATATTTTGCCACAATTTTGGTTCTCAGGTCCTCAGACAGTTCTCGTCTCCTCTTTCTGTTGTCCATGCTTAGTGTGGCACAGACAGACACACAATGCAAAGGTTAAGTG